CTATCCTCTGCTGTCATTTTGACCTTTATTGGCATAAAAGATACTGATAAATTACAATCAAGAATAAATACAAAGGTCTGATAGATGAAAAAAGAGACATAAAACAGATGATTAAGATAGTGACCAATAATACAGATCAAGTATGTATTTAAATCAATAAAACATCAGAAACAAATAGGAAAAAATAGGTGTCCAACAATTAAGATACAGTGATGTGTTTGGACTTAATTTTATATGCTTCAGCTAAAAATTTGGAAACACGTGATTTGAGGGTTGACATCTTCTTAAAGATAAATTAAAATGGAAGTCTTCATTCAGCAAAGAGGAAGGTTGCCCACTCCAGAACCGCTGATTTTTTTTTTTGGGGGGGGGGTGTTGAAAGGAGTCAGATTAAGGTGATGAGAGAGGAGGTCTTAAAACTTATAAATCAACAGGCCCTAATGGCATACATCCAAGAGTTCTGAAAGAACTCACATGTGAACTTGTGGATCTCCTGACAAAAATACGTAATCTTTCATTAAAATCTGTCTCCATTCCTGAGGACTGTAAGGTAGCTAATGTCACCCACATCTTTAAAAAGGATTCCAGAGGAGATCCAGGAAATTACAGGCCAGTCAGTCTGACATCAATACCGGGTAAGTAGGTGGAAACCATTATTAAGGAGAGAATTAGTAGGCACTTGTTGTTGTTCAGTCGCACAGTCGAGTCCGACTCTTCGCGACCCCATGGATCATCTCCCGCCAGGCCCTCTTGTCTTCCGCCGTCCTGAAAGTCCGATGCTGCAAAGAACAATACTGCATAGGAACCTGGAATGTAAGATCTATGAATCAAGGTAAGCTTGACGTGGTCAAAAATGAGATGGCAAGACTGAACATCGATATCCTAGGAATCAGTGAACTAAAGTGGACAGGAATGGGCGAATTTAACTCAGAAGACCATTATATCTACTACTGTGGCCAGGAATCTCGTAGAAAAAATGGTGTGGCCTTTATAGTCAACAAGAGAGTGCAAAAGGCAGTACTGGGATACAATCTCAAAAATGACAGAATGATTTCTGTCCGATTCCAAGGCAAACCATTCAACATCACAGTAATTCAAGTGTATGCCCCAACCACTGATGCAGAAGAGGCTGAAGTGGACCGGTTCTATGAAGACCTACAACACCTCCTAGAACTAACACCAAAAAATGATGTCCTCATCATCATAGGGGACTGGAATGCTAAAGTAGGAAGTCAAAAGGTAACTGGAATAACAGACAAGTTTGGCCTTGGAAAGCAAAATGAAGCAGGGCAAAGGTTAACAGAGTTTTGTCAAGAGAACACACTGGTCATAGCGAACACCCTTTTCCAACAACCTAAGAGGCGACTCTACACATGGACATCACCAGATGGGCAACACCGAAATCAGATTGACTATATAATTTGCAGTCAAAGATGGAGAAGCTCTATCCAGTCAGTAAAAACAAGACCTGGAGCTGACTGTGGTTCAGATCATGAGCTACTCATTGCAAAATTCAGACTTAAACTGAAGAAAATTGGGAAAACCACGAGGCCATTCAGGTTTGACCTAGATCGCATCCCTGATGAATATACAGTAGAGGTGAAGAATAGATTCAAGGGTCTGGATTTGATAGATAGAGTGCCTGAAGAACTATGGACAGAGGTTCGTGACATCGTACAGGAGGCAGCAATCACCACCATCCCAAAGAAAAAGAAATGTAAGAAAGCAAAGTGGCTTTCTGATGAGGCTTTACAAATAGCAGAGGAAAGAAGGAAAGCGAAAGGCAAAGGCGAAAAGGAAAGATTTACCCAACTGAATGCAGATTTCCAGAGAACAGCAAGGAGAGATAAGGAGGCCTTCCTGAATGAACAGTGCAAAGTAATAGAAGAAAACAATAGAATGGGAAGGACTAGAGATCTCTTCAAGAAAATTGGAGAAATCAAGGGAGCGTTCCATGCAAAGCTGGCCATGATAAAGGACAAAAACGGTAGGGACCTAACAGAAGCAGAAGAGATTAGGAAAAGATGGCAAGAATACACAGAAGAACTATACAAGAAAGACCTCAATGTCCTTGACAAACACGACGGTATAATCACTGACCTTGAGCCAGACATCCTGGAATGTGAAGTTAAATGGGCCTTAGAAAGCATTGCTAACAACAAAGCTAGTGGAGGTGATGGTATTCCAGTTGAGCTATTCAAAGTCTTAGAAGATGATGCTGTTAAAGTTCTGCACTCCATTTGCCAGCAAATTTGGATAACGCAACAGTGGCCACAGGATTGGAAAAGGTCAGTATACATTCCAATCCCAAAGAAGGGCAATGCCAAGGAATGTTCAAACTATCGCACAATTGCACTCATATCACACGCTAGCAAGGTCATGCTCAAGATCCTACAAGCTAGGCTTCAACAGTACTTGGATAGAGAACTGCCAGAAGTACAAGCTGGGTTTCGAAGAGGTAGAGGAACTAGAAATCAAATTGCCAACATTCGCTGGATTATGGAGAAAGCAAGAGAGTACCAGAAAAACATCTACTTCTGCTTCATTGACTCTGCTAAAGCCTTTGACTGTGTGGATCACAACAAACTATGGCAGGTCCTTAAAGAGATGGGAGTACCAGACCACCTCACATGTCTCTTGAGAAACCTGTATAAGGGTCAAGAAGCGACAGTATCATAATGCCCCTGTATAAATCGATGGTGCAACCTCATTTGGAATACTGTGTACAATTCTGGTCACCACACCTCAGGAAGGATATTATAGCATTGGGAAAAGTGCAGAAAAGAGCAACTAGAATGATAAAAGGGTTGGAACATTTTTCCTACGAAGAAAGGTTAAAGCATTTGGGGCTCTTTAGCTTGGAGAAATGACGACTGAGGGATGACATGATAGAGGTTTACACGATTATGCATGGGATAGAGCAGGTAGAGAGAGGTACTTTTCTCCCTTTCTCACAATATAAACACTCGTGGGCACTCCATGAAATTGCTGAGCAGTCGGGTTAGAACAGATAAAAGGAAGTACTTCTTCCCCCAAAGAGTGATTAACACATGGAATTCACTGCCACAGGTGGTGGTGGTGGCTACAAGCATGGACAGCTTCAAGAGGGAATTGGGAAAACATATGGAGCAGAGGTCCATCAGTGGCTATTAGCCACAAGGTATAGATAAGAACTCTCAGTCTGGGGCAAGTGATGCTTTGTATTCTTGGTGCTTGGGGGGGGGGGGCAACAGTGGGAGGGCTTCTAGTGTCCTGGCCCCACTGGTGGACTTCCTGATGGCACCTGGTATTTTTGGCCACTGTGTGACAGTGTTGGACCAGATGGGCCTGATCAACATTTTTGGCCACTGTGTGACAGTGTTGGGCCTGATCCAATATTGGATTCTCTTATGTTCTTACAGTTGGAAGCATGTTTAAGGCAGCTGCCTGAGATCTGGTTCTGTGGATCTTTTTCAGGTATTTAGACTGGCCATAGCCAGAGAGGCAAACCTTTTGTGTGAGCCAAATTGCAAGAGCCAAGGGCACCTCAATCCAAGGCACGCTCCCAGTGGCCCTGCGTGTGCTGCACCAATGGATTCAGGACTAGCCCAAGATGCGGTGTGTGTATTATGTTTCCCCCCGGATTATTTAAACTATATATTTGTATTTTTCTAAGCCATCAACACCATTGGAAAAGTTAAATTATGACAAGCTGATCGTTTGTCCGGCTTGCACCGGCTAATACAACATTAGGCACCAAGCTAGAAAGCTCAGGGCTTTGTTGAGGGAAAGTCGCAGTGGCAGCCCAGGTTGACCTGTGGCCCAGCCAGTGGACGTATTTGCTCCAGAGCACCCCCTTCCCTCTTGTGGAGCCTGGGATGTGCCTTGGTTTATTGAGGAGCTTGGGCTGATGAAGAGGTTTGGTTGATGGTTGGCATGCGAGCACAGGAAAGCTCAAAGCGAATGTGATCAGACACAGGTGAGAGCACGTTAATCATGCCTGCTGCGTGATGGCGACGGCCAGATGCTGCTGGGAGAATGGGAAACAAGCCTGGCACTTCCTTGCCATTGTGCTGCCTCTTCATGGGCCCACCTTTGCCACTCCTGGGAGGTGGAAAGAGAACCTGGAGGGCCGATGGTTTGTTGCCTACCTCTACAGGGAAGACGGGCGGCTGCTCCATGGTCTGGTGAGCTGGTAGCTTCCTCTGGAGTTGAGGCATCATCAGCAAGCCCCTCAGCCAAGGCCTCAGAGTCCAGGGGTTCTGAGTCTAGTCCAGTGATGCTCAAAGCCCCTCCAGGATGGTCCCCAGGTCCTCCAGTTCATCCTCCCGTCTCCTCCCAAGTCTGAGCCAAGCCCAGGAGGAGCCCCGATGGCTGGTGTGGTGTTAAAGTGTTGGCTTAGGCCACGGCTCAGGATTTTCACCTGGGTATGAAGCTGCCTTCTCCAGAATAATACCCCTGGACTTTGTTAAGGCCAGTCTTGCCTCCTCTAACTGGCAGCAGCACTCTAGGTTCTCAGGCAGAGGTTTTTCACTACCTGTTCCTTTTAATTGGAGATGCGAGGGATTGAACCTGCAAAGCTCTGCAAGCAAAGTGCACTGCAACCTGAAAGGGCCCAGTGAATTCGGACAGAAGTTTGATGCTGCTAATGTCGAATGGCTTGTGTTTTAATACTGTAGTTTTTTAATTGTAAGTTGCCTCAAAAGGGACTCAGAAGAGACGGCACAGAAATATTCTAAATACTCAAACATCAAAGCAGAACTGTAACCATCAGCTTGTTGTACTGTTCATGCCTTTTTTCATACATTCAGAGCTGATTCAGATTTTGTTTTGAGTCTACATCCCTACCACTGTTGTTCATTACAAAATAAAAAAAGCCTACAGAGAGAGTTTCAAAATTTTCACATGCCAAGAAAAACAGTGCTGACATTATGATCTCTGTGTTACTTATTTACTTTCTTCAAATATTTCCACAAGCAACATTTGAGATACACATCTAAAAATGAATAGTGGTGCCAACATCACCGGCTAGTTGTATTAAACTGTGTGTAATACTGGCCAGATGGAAAATTGGCATATACTTCTTCATCGAGGGCAGCTCTCCTGGAAGAAAAACATTTTCAATTAATAAATGTTTTTTTTTTAAAGATCAAATCTCTAATACATAAATGTTGCTGTTCCTTTCTTTCTTTATTTGGATTGTACAGCAGACAATAATAAAATATTTTGTCTCCGGTACAAAGTGCGGTTTGTAACCAAAAAGCATCTGCTGCAAAAATTTGATTTTAAATATCCACATTGTAAGAAACGCCCTCTAAAATCCCCCAAGTTCTGCAGTAACCGCCAAAGGCCTGCTTCAGTTCTGTTTCTCCCTGGGCACTTGCCAGGGAAAGGCAGATTGGCTAGAGAGAAACAGAGGCGTCTGACGAAAACAAGGGTCTCTCTGCAAAGCGGGGGAAGGTTTGGGCTGAATACAAACTCTGCAACACTCTTCTAAGATGGTGAAGATCATGAGACGGTGCCAGCTCTCGGGCATCAAGAGACCTTTGGACTGGATCAATTTCTCACTAACGGGAAGAGGAATTTCTGTCTGTGAAGGAATAGACTTGCAGGTCCCATTCTGTCACAGTCCCTGGGAGGTCACAAAGCCCAACGGTTGTCCCGAGTTTCCACTTGGTGACGCCAACCCTTTCTCTTACTCCTGCGGGGTGCACCAAAAACAAACAGCGCAGTAACCACTGCCCCCAGAAACTCAGAGGATTGTTAGACAGAGCTGCACATCTAACACCCTGAATCTGCATGGCCATTTAGAGGCTCCGCCTCTGGTTTAGTGCCAGGCTTCATATGGTGGAGGAACAGTATGGGTGTCTTGTACCTGTGCCAGATAGAAAGCATCAGTTTCCAGCTGGATGTGTCACACAGAGACCTTGATTGTGCAAGGAATTCCATTTACAAGACCCTTCCCCTATAAAACGGGGAGAGAAGATGATGCCAACAGGGGCTCCCTGCAGATATCTGGGCACAGCCCTAGAGCATTCTGCTTGCCTGGAAGTTTCTCTGTGCAGTGCGGAGAGTGGGGTAGAGCTGGCACCCCTCCTGTACCAAGCACATTAAGCACTGGCCTAGAAGAGTGCTCATTCTGGGGCTTTGCTTATCCCTGTGTCACTATACCGGACCTGTACCTTCGCAGTCTGAATGAGGTTTGCACTAGGAAAGACATGAAGGAGAAGCCTTTCCCATGTAGTTTGCTCGTACAAATGCCCCCCCCCCAAAGGTGTGCCATTCTTTCTTCAATCCCTGCTATTCCTGGACAAGAGAAATACAAACTCAAAAGGAGCTCCAGTCACTTCTTTGATTCTGAAGCCCATGGTAATCGGCTACTTTTCTTCCAGCTTTTACCGTTGGCCACTTTGTTCTTGGACAGGCAACTAATAAGCAAATGGCACTCTACAAAGCACTTCCCTTTGGATGGTGGCCAACTAGGTTTGCTTGGCAATAAGACTGACCCTGCGGCATATGTAACTTATCCTCAGTCTTGTGGCAAAGGGGTAACTTAGAATAATAATAGGCAGTAAGTTACTTTTGGTTCTTCACACCATCCTAAAAGACTGTTCTTACTGTATGTTGTGGCAAAATGATGAATTTGCAGCATAGCAGGTTCTTCAGAATTTCAGTGGGCTGATCATTTTGAGCCAAGAACACGCTATTCAATCAGATGGAATAACCGCCCCCATTGCAAGGCCAGGACAAGGTCATAGGTGGCCATATCTGACACTGGACTTGGAGGGGTATGTCCAGGACTGGTTCCCAGAGGTCACAAGTTTGAGAATCAGTGTGGGGTAGTGGTTCATGTATCAGACTAAGTTCTGGTTCACATTCCAGTCAGTCTTGCCGCATAAATTACGTGATCAGATTGAGAATACCACCAGGACCAATACCTAAATTGTGGTACGGTTGGTTTTAGGAATTTCCACTCTGCACTTTGTTTCCAGCACTTCAAACATGGTTTCTGATTGTTCTGGGATGTTTTATGTATGTCTTTAATTGTATGTATATACATTTTATGTTAAGCCGCCCTGAGCCTGCTTCGGCGGGAAGGGCGGGGTATAAATCGAACTAATAATAATAATTCCTGCTCTGCCATGGAAGTTCACTGGGTGACTTTGGGCCACTTGCTCTCTCTTGGCCTGTCCTCCCTCACAGGGCTGCTGTTGGGAGCATAAAATGGAGGAAGTGAGAACAATACGGAATGCCCCTTTGGGTCCCATTGTGGAGGATATGGGGTATATAGAGATCTAAATAAATCGGTCAAAAAGGTTTTAAAGTTGCAGCTTGAGGAACAGCAGCCAGAATGCACAGTTCTGTTGACCAGGCAGAAGGCCGGGACCACAACATTTTTATCAGAGCTGACCAATCTGGCAGCCTTACACTGCCTGCTGATTGCAGGGTTCCAATGTGACACACCCCGTCCCCTTCTGCTCCTACACCCCCTACCTTCTTTTCTGATCCTGGGAGAGCTGAGCATTGAGGTTATCCAGCGCTCTCCGAAGCTCTCGATTTTGGCGTTGCTGATGGCGCTCATATAGCAATTCTGCTCGGGCCGCTTGGATGCGCCGCCTGTCCCACTCTGCCTTTCTCTGACGCTCCTCTTCCTCCAGCCTCTGTGTAAAAACAGAGCATTTGTGCTTTCTTCATAGCTAGTAGCCAGAGCTTCCTAGCCAAATGAAGAGATCTGTACAAATGGATGTTGTACATGCTTTCTTTTGAGGGCAGCACCTGGTTCAGAAACTGGGAAGCCAGATTATCTACAACAGCAACATTTTTTTTTGGGGGGGGGGAGGCATTGAATCCAGCCCTTGGCTCCCTGTTCCAGCTCCTTCAACAGAAGACTGGTGCTACTGAAAGGGATCTTGGGCTTGCTGAATATGAGCTGGTAGAGCGACATAGTTGCACAAAAAAATCAAATGGGATTGTGGGCTGCATTAATATTAGCACAGTATTCAAGGAATGAGAAATAACAAGTTTCATGACTGTCCAGCTATAGGTGTCACACTTTGAGAAAGATGTAGCCAAACTGGAATGGCAAAGAAGAGGGTTGGAGGTCTTCAAAACAAGTCCTATGAGGAAAGGTTGTAGGAACTGGGTATGTTTAGCTTGAAGCAGAGAAGTCTGAAGGGAGACTTGATCGACACACTTATTCTCAGCTGCTCCAGAGGTCAGGACTAGATCTAATGGGCTTAAGTTACATGATGGTAAATGTTGGTTGAACCTCCAGAGAAACGCCCTAATGATAAGAGCAATCTGAGAATGGTACCTAAGAAGGCTCCCCTCTCCCTCTCTGGAGGTCTTCAAGCAGAGGCTGGATGGCCATCTGTCAGGAATGCTCTCACTCTGCATTTCCTGCACTGGTGGGCTGGGCAAGACAGCCCCAGAGAACCTCTTCCAATTCTACCATTCTGTGCCTGGGAAACTGAGGCTGCGATCACACACACTAAATAATCCACTCTCAGTACACTTTCAGTACACTTCCCAACTGGGGCGACAAAGGGCTTTTCTGGGCAAACCAGATGTCATTCTTCATCAAGGTGAATTATTGTAATGTGCTTGCCACAAGACATTTGTGCATCCTTCGTACGCTTCTTTAGCTCTCGCTAAGGAGGTAAATCACAAGGAGCAGGAGAGGGGCTCACAGGATGAAATGCTCCTCTAGACCAAATAAATAATTCCATTTGCACAGAACAGTAAATGTCACAGAAAAGAGTTCTTGCCTGTGTGCTCCCTGACACGTTAGCTTTCTAAGTGCAGTGATGCTTTTTCCTTCGAGTGAGTATCTATCATGTGACTGACATTTCTCAGTGGGAAGTGAGCCTTACAGCACTGAGGATTCTCGGTAGTCATTTTAAAAAGCTTTCAAAAATACACTGGCAAAAAAAAGGAGCACCCATTAAAAGACTGAAAATGCCACAGGAGCTCACATTCCTGGGTTTCACACCTGATGACGGGACAGTCAGGATATGGTTGTGCCATTTCCCACAAACAGTAACTCTTCCAGAGCATGGCTTGGCCACAAAGCTGGCATTGACTCATGCACTCCTTTGGCACTCTGAGCATGGAGGAAAAGGAAGCACTAACAGGAGATCTGAAAGACTGAAGTTTTTTTCCTTCTAGAAGAGATGGGCAGTGTCCTCCCCCTCCATTCATGGGACGTGGAGCCTCGCTGCACTCTTATTTCTTCCTGTCGCCCTTACAACCCCTGGGAAGACCATTCTCAGGATCGCAGAAACCCCTTGGAGCAGGCCCGTAGATACAGTGGGGCATCTCAGGGCCCGCCCGGCCCCCTGACTTACCGCCAAGCCCCCCGACTTTCCATCCAGCCCAGACGCTCCCTTAGGGGGGGGGGTAGAGGTGTGGGGGGGTGCCCCCTGACTTATTTAAAGGCCCCCCGAATTAAAAAAAACCCTGGCTACAGGCCTGCCTTGGAGGAATAGGACCATGGGCTGGGGGGCTTCTCCCTTCTCTTCCGGAAGCACAGCTCTGCTTGCCCCTCCTCACTCCAGCTCACCAAGCCACATGGCTGTTTCCCTGCATGGGTCCCGCAGCCCTAGGAGGGGTCTCTCCAGAAATCAGAAGAGGCTGCAGGAACAACTGGCAAACCCCTGTGCCTGGATGGCTGGATGTCGCCCAGTGGATTTTGTTCTCCACAGAAGGAACATGACAGTGAATACCAGCTTCTCGAGGACTTGTTGCAGCTGGACGTCTCGTATTTCTTTCAGCTGATCTTGACTCATCCCTTTCCACCGGTCAGTGATCACTCGATTAGAGGCAAAGGAGCTGACAGCTTGCTGCGGATTTTCAGACAGCAGGTCTCCTTTCAGCAGATTCGAAATCTCGGCTATGTCGTCTTCCAGCTCTTGCTGCTTCTCTAATTTCTTTTTTTCTTCAGATTCGATGGCCTTAGAAACAGGAGAAAAGCAAACCGCACAGGAAAAACAGTCAACATGCCTTATTTCAGCATAGATTTCTCTTGCGAAACTGTACTCAATGAGCAATCAACTATTTTATACTCTGCCTGCTGTACCCTTAGTTTTCATCCCCGTTTGAAACAAAGCCCAACCGCAAGAATGATGGGGTGTGGGGCAGGCATGATAGAGGTCTATCAAATTATGCCTGAGGGAGAGAAAGTAGGTAGAGAGAGTTTTTTCTCCCTGTTCCACCATACTAGAACCAAAGAGCCATATGACCTCACTCAGCAGCCTCATAAAACGGAAGAGCATAGACAAGATGGAACCTTGGGGCAATCCACAAACAGGCCCCACCCCTCTGTCATTACTCCTGTGATGGAAACTCCCTGTGTCTGATATGACAAAAAAGACCGAAACTACCAGGAAGTAGAGTGGTCAACTGTGTCAACGATATCAGCTATGCCCATAAGGGAGAACAGGCAGGCAAGCAGTGAAACAGGTCGTAACCAAGGTCTAGGGTTTCTAGCTTTGGGTTGGGAAATACCTGGAGATTTTGAGGGTGGAGCCTCAGAAAGGTGTGGTTTGGGAAGGGGAGGGACCACAGCACGGTCCAATTCCATAGAGTCCACCCTCCAAAGCAGCCATTTTCTCCAGGGGAACTGATCTTTGTCACCTGGGGAGCAACTGTAATAGCGGGAGATCTTCAGGTGCCACCTGGAGGTTGGTAACCTGAATTGAGGTCATAATGTAGCTTGATCTGGGTAGGTAAAGAAAGCAGAGTTCCCTCTAAGCTGAGTTAGTGTGAGCTAGCTCACAGTTTTTTAGCCTCTGGCTCGCACATTTTTGTCTTAGCTCAGGAAGGATGGCTCCAGAGCAAACTGATTTATGCAGTAGCCAAATTGCTTGCTCACAACTTTCATGCCAGTGGCTCACAAAGTAGAATTTTTACTCACAAGACTCTACAGCTTGGAGGGAACATTGAAAGAAAGCACTGAGAAACTGTAGAATAAACTGTCCTCCCCAGCCAGGCACAGAGAAACAGATGGGGACAGTTCAGGGAGTGCAAATCATGACCCTCTTTGGGAAGAAGCCCCATCATGATAGGGAGGATGGTAGCTCCCCTGTCATCTAAGGACAGAACTAGCTGCCAATTTCTAAAAAGGAGTGTGCCGGGGGGCCCCTCAAACCTTAACCTCTAGGAACCATAATCTCTACTACTCCGTGTCTAACACCCAGTGGGGACTGCTTGATTTGGCAGGTTTTTCAATGCACCCCGTTTCCAGGACTGGATCCTGACACTGTTGTAAAAGTCCATCTAATTAAGGTTTGGAAATAAGAAATCTGATTGTTGGATTAATTATTCATTTATTTATCATTTCTTTTTATTTAAAACATTTATTAGCTGCCTTTCTTTCTGCGGAGCTCACAGTGGCTTACAATATTAATACATAAAAACATTAAAAACTGAAATTTAAAATTTAACTAAAAGTTAAAGTCACAATTTAGAAGAAGAAGATGAAGAGATTGGATTTATACCCAACCCTTCACTTGGAGTCTCAGAGCGGCTTACAAACTCCTTCCCCTTCCCCTCTGCACAACAGACACCCTGTGCGGTAGGTGGGGCTGAGAGAGCTCTTGAAGGAAACTGCTCTTTTTCAAGGACAGCTGTGCCAGAACTATGGCTTGCCCAAGGTCATCCAGCAGCTGCAAGTGGGGGAGTGGGGAATCAAACCCAGTTCTCCCAGATTAGAGTCTGTGCACTTAACCACTACACCAAACTGGCTGTTTTAATTAAATGCAGTCACAAATAAAAGAGTCTTCAGTTGCCTCCTAAAGATCAAAAGTGAGGGGGCCGGGGTTTCTTTCCTAGGGAGGTTATTCCATCATCATAGGGATGCCATTGAAAAGGCCCTCTCTCGTGTACCCACTAAACGAGCATTTTTGATTGATGGGACAGTCAGGAGGGCCTTCATTCCTGGGCAGGAGCCTATGGGAGAAGATGGCCCTTCAGATACCCTAGCCCCAAGCCACGTAGGGCTTTAAAGGACAAAACCAAAAACGTGAATTGGGTTCAGGAACGGATCGGTAGCCAGTGTAACTGCCGCACTATCAGGGTCACATGCTCCTGGTATCTGGACCCAACCAGTAGCCTAGCCGCCGTCTTCTGCACTAACTGCAGCTTCTGAATACTCTTCAAGGGTAGCCCCAAGTACAGTGCATTGCAGTAGTCCAGGCTAGATGTAACTAAGGCATGGATCACTGTGGCTACAGCTGACTGACCCAGAAATGGACACAGCTCATTCACCAGCCAAAGCTGGGCAAGAGCACTACAGACCACCACAACCAGTTGGTTTTCTAAGGTGACCGCTGTGTCAAGCACTCTGTCCTTCTACTAACCCAGAGAACCTCTGTCTTGTCAGGATTAAGTTTCAGCTTGTTCACCCTCATCCAGCGCATTAACTGACTCCAAGCATCGGTTCAAGAACATCAAAAGGTGGAATTAGGTGGAAGATGCTGCTCATCCTCCAAAAACCTCAGAGTAGCCTAAAATACCGTTCTGCATATCAACATAGCAGCCCTGTGAGTTTGGCTCTAACTCACCCACGTCCTCCAGCCACCTCCAGGGCTGAAGAAAAATGTGAACCTCAGTCTTTGCCACCCAAATTTTAATATTCTGTCGCTAGAATACATGGGATCAGACTGGAATGACAGTCAACTTAGGCACAAATGGGCTGAAGTGTGAAACTCTTACTGATGAGTCTCTTATTAATATTATTTTATTTTACTAATTTTATTAATTTTCTCTTGTTAATGTTTTTATACTATCCCTATGTTATTACTGATTTAATCTTTCTTATATCAGAATTGTACTGTTTTACTGGCTCTTGCTGTAATAAATTAGATCAATGGATCAATGGATATGGAGTGTTAAGAGCTTGGCAACAGAGAAGAATATCCTGGGGAAAACTGTTTTTAGCCCATTACGTAAAAAAATTTTTTTTCCACAGCATGTTGCTTATGGAGCTACATTATTTGGACCATGGAAAAAGATCACCAGTCTTTACTTATAGAGCGCCATCAACATGCAGGGGGCTTGACGCAATAACAAACAAAAATACCGATCTTGGTGTGTGGGGGGGGTGATTACAAGCTAAACTCTGTCACTGGCTAGAGGGATGGGATGGGGAAGAAGATGGGAGAAAAAGGTCAGATTCCATCTACGTTTCCTTCTTGCAGTAATTAACACAGATGTACCTGCTTTATGTTGAATTCTTTAGTAGCTACACAAATGGCTCGTCTTGTTTCTTCATCTCTCCTCTGAAGGTCCATAGCCTTCTGGTCAAGCTCCAGTCTGTGTGTGTCATGCAGACTATCTAAATTGGTGAAACAAAATTGTACATACAAATGTCATACTGTACAAAACAAACTGTTACATTTATACCCTGCTGAGAAACCCGAATAAGAGTCAAGAAGCGACAGTTAGAACCAAATATGGAACAACCGATTGGTTTAGCATAGGAAAAGGAGTACGACAAGGATGTATATTGTCACCCTGCTGCTTTAATTTATATGCAGAGTACATCACGTGAAATGCCGGCCTGGATGAATCACAAGCCAGAATTAAGACTGCTAGGAAAAACATCAGCAACCTCAGATATGCAGACGATACCACTCTAATGGCCTCTTGCTCAATGTGAAAGAGGAGAGCACAAAAGTTGGCTTGAAACTCAACATCAAAAAGACTAAGATCATGGCATCCAGCCCCATCACTCCTTGGCAAACAGAAGGGGAAGTCATGGAAGCAGTGACAGAATTCACGTTCTTGGGATCCAAGATCACTGCAGATGATGACTGCAGCCATGAAATTTCCTCCCCTGCTCCTTGGGAGGAAAGCTATGGCAAACCTAGACAGCATAATAAAAAATAGAGACATCACCCTGCCAACAAAAGTCCATTGGGTCAAAGCGCTGGTATTCCCAGGAGCAATGTATGGCTGTGAGAGTTGGACCATAAGGAAGGCTGAGCGCCAAAGAATAGATGCTTTAGAATTATGGTGCTGGAGACTCTTGGACTGCCAGGAGATCAGATCAGTCAATCCTAAAAGAAATCAACCCTGACTGTTCCCTGGAAGGCCAGATACTGAAGCTGAAGTTCAAATACTTTGGCCGCCAAATGAGAAGGGAGCACTCCCTGGAGAAGACCCTGATGCTGGGAAAGATTGAAGGTCAAAGAAGGGGACAGCAAAGGATGAGATGGTTAGACAGTGTTATCGATGCAACGAACATGAAATTGAGCAGACTCCGGAAGACGGCGGGAGAGCCTGGTGTGATGTGGTCCATGGGGTTGCAAAGAGTCAGAATCGACTGTGTGACTGAACAACAACAAGCTCTTCTTTTAAAAAGCTCAGATTGATGTTGCAGCTTCACAAATAACCCATCTGATGAGTTTAGGTTGAAAAAAGTCAGTGCAGTGGGACTACCTAAATCTGGGTCCAAATCCCCACTTGCCTGAAGGTCAATGGGTGACCTTCGATAGTATGACTCCTTTGGTCTGGCCAAACTCACAGAGCTGTTGTGAGGATAAATGGGGATAGGGTAACCCTCTTGAACTTACTACTCTGTATCTTTTAAGATTTCTATTTAAAACCAACCTAAACACTCTTGAAATGATTAAATACAGAAGAATCAGTGTGATACAAAAAACATTTGCAAGTCAATGAAATCAGAAACAGAAGAGCGTACATATCTCTTATCATATCTATCTTAAATCTTAAAAAATCAATAGAATTTCTAAGTTTCTCACCAAAGCACTTTCACATAAATTACATAGTCTCACACAGCCCACACCCAAGAGATTTGGGGTATTTGGGGTGTGGCTACCTTATATAGGCCCAACTATGTGAAACTCACATGACTGCATCAAAACCATCTAATTTGTTCCCTCTAAAGGCATGATATAAAAGCCTCTGAGCTTAGAATGAACTTCCCACAGAAATAATTGTGGCAAGCTTGTTTGTTCTTCATACGATAACATTTAGTTCAGGGCACAAACCCATTAATTTATAGTTATCTTTCTCAAGGGTGTAGAAATGAGTACATGGCTGAAAAAGAGCAAATATACGTTTTGCTGAAACTGTCAAGCCTCCATTTGTTCCGTCATCTGTACTAGTAACAGACGATGTCTGTGACAACCCAATGCCACCGATCTCTGTAATGCTGCCACATCAGCTGAATGGTGACAGTAAGGTGACAGGTGAGAGGCATGGGCCGAGCGCAGTTCCTACTGCAGCTCTGGAGTGACTCCCAATGTCTCACAACAGATGCCAATTTTGGCTGGTCTAAAAATTAACTATAAGAAAACTAAACTGTTAACAAAAAATTGTACACCAAATGTAATTAAAGAAATTCAAGATATCACATCAATGGAAATAGTTTAAAAAGTAAAATATTTAGGTATTATTGTATCAAACAGAAACAGTAATTTAATAGAAGATAATTACAATAGTCTCTTAGAAGAAATAAGGAAAGGCTTAAATAAATGGAAAGATATACATCTTTCATTTATGGGTAAAATTGCCACTATCAAAATGAATATTCTTCCTAGATTTCTGTTTTTGGCACAAAATATCCCAGTGCTAAAAAGAAATCAATTTTTTATGGAATTGGATAAGATAGTTAAGCAATTTGTCTGGCACTCTAAAAACCCCAGGATAAAACTGAAAACTTTACAAGATAAAAAAGAAAGAGGAGGATGTGGTCTGCCTAACTGGGAACTGTATTATCAAGCGGCTAGCCTAGGATGGATTAAAGACTGGATTGAATTGAAAGATAATAGAGGTTTAGCCCTAGAAGGACATGATTTAAGCATGGGCTGGCACGCCTATATTTGGTATGGAAAAGATAAGATTCATTCCAACTTTAAAAATCACTTATTAAGAGGTGCATTAATTAAAATATGGAACAAGATAAAAGAAAAATTCTATAATAAAACTCCCAGATGGGTTTCTCCCTTGGAAGCTTTTGTTAAACCAACACTTATTACAAAATTCAATAAAGAACCTTATGAAATATTGTTAGACAAAGCTAATAAATTAAAAACAGAAGAGCTTCTCTTTAAGAAACATGATGTTAAATTAACTTGGTGGGAAAACATACAGTTAAAGAATATATACAATAAAGATTTCTCAATAGGCTTTTATGATGACAAAAATGAATTGGATAAAATCTGACTTTTGTCGAATGATAAAATGATTCAGAAAATATATAAGTTCCTGTTAGAAGACGATATGTTAGATGACCTTGTTAGACCTACCATTTTATCTTGGATGAGAGATTTAGAACATGGTATTGAAATGGACGAATGGTTTAAAATTTGGAAAAAGACTAAATGTATGAGAGTTATTCCTTTTAAAGAAAATGTGTTTAAAATACTGTATAGATGGTACTGGCCACCGGAGAGGATTGCAAAATGTTTTCCAAAATATTCAAGTAATTGTTGGAAATGTAAAGTAAATGTCGGCTCTTTTTTCCACATGTGGTGGAAATGTCTAAAAATTCAAAACTACTGGAAGAAAATTCAGAAAATATTAAGAGAAGTAGTAGGTATAGATCTGCCACTTAACCCTGAAATTTACTTGCTAAATATGATCCCAAAGGAATATGACTATAACAAATCATATGTGATTATGTATATTTTGACGGCAGCAAGAATCCTATGGGCCAAATATTGGAAATCAGATAAAATACCTCAAAGAGAAGAATTAATATACAAACTATTGAATGTAGCAGAAGTTGATAAACTGAATGTAGTATTATGCGGAAAGGATGAAAAGATTTTTGAAAAAAGATGGTCAGGATTGTATGAGTGGTTAGAGAAAGAGCGAAACATAAGACTCTAATGTATATTTAATTTTGCATATGTATATTTTTCATCTAAATGTTTTATAAAATCATAAATTTTCAAAAAAACCACAACAGATGCCAATTTTGTGAAAGGGCAGAGAGTACGCACTCCTTGCCATGCTTGCTTCAAAATGGGCTGCAAGGTAGCCAAGGAGGACACCTCGAGCCTCCAGCCAAGCTAGGTGCCGGAGGAAGGGAGGGTGTCCCTAAACCCCTTCCCACTCCTTATCTGAGGCCAGTGGAGTCTGTAGCAGTGGCAAGACCAGACCCTTGATTAACAGGACAGGACTGAGGATCTTCAACTTCAACACAAGATATATACCAGTGACACATAGCCATTTGTAACGAAGTGTTCATTAAACCCGGATCATAGAGATTAAAAAAAACAAACCCAAAACCCCAGGAAAACCCTGACCACTGTTGCTGTCTGTCACAAATACATAGACACTTAAATTAAAAAGTTGGCACTGACATCTTTGAGAGAAACTGGTATGGAGCAGCATGTTAACGCTGAAGCTTGAAGTAGCTTTGCAAACAGATCAAGAGCATGTTCGCAAACACATACTCTAGTCCATTTTTTAATCTGTAGAAAGGTAGGACCCACAAAAGTGTGTCACAACAGGAGTACCTCTACTTTTAATTTAAGTGAAGTAGAAAGAGAGAAAGGGTGTCTATGCAGACCTAACATTTAATTATGATTTTCTTTAACCCTGGATTAACCATCATGTCTGAACATCTAGTCAAGATTTAAGGAACAGGATGTGAAAACTAATGTCTCAAGCAAGTATTTTCTTTAGCACGTTACCTAGAAGGTAACGTGCTAAAGAAAATGCGTGAGACATTAGTTCTCACATCCTGTTCCTTAAATCTTGACTAGATGTTCAGACACAATGGTTAATTCAGGGTTAAAGAAAATCATAATTACATACAGCTGACTAGTGCTGTAAGGCAACAAGCCTAGGTTAGGTCTAAATGCAGCAAAGCATTATGTCTCTATTGGCCAGAAAGAAAAAGAGGGCAGAGCCCCTTTACAGTTAATACTTGTGCAGAAGAGACTGGGGGGAAAAGTGTAGTTTTTCTAACCACAGTAAATATGTTGCACTTGCCAAATAGCCTCTCAGGAGCCCAGGGCTCTTCTGCATTTGGTAGCCATGCACAGAAGAGGGAACAGCCACAGATTAAAAAAAATTAAAAACAGAACCAGTGTTGCAGATTGGGCATAATGGTGTGCCCTAAACCCAAAAATGTTGATGGATGTGGCTTTCCTCTGTGCCCTGCCTCCTACATAACCAATTGGCAACACTTTGGTCAACAACATGCTGCACTCTTTTCAAACATTCACTTATTACCTGCAAATTTTCGGTCTGCAAGTGCATTAGCCCAGTCTTTTTGTTGCTCCAGAAGCCATTCCCTTGTTTGCTCCTGCTGATATTTCTTCCTATTCTCACTGTTTAGGTCTTCTCCCATAAATTTCTGCAAGCCGGACGCTGTACATCGGGGGTCACTGTCTGCCACACGAGCAGGCATATTTTTCTTTAGGGACTGGGGATCAGACAAGTCAAATTCACGCCGTGTTTCTGGTTGCTGATAATTCTGGCGAAATTCATTGAGAGCTTTTTCTAAATTTACAGTGTCTTTTTTCTGTCGTTGGTCTACAATGCACACGATCTTGTCATTCTGTTTCATTTCTGCAGCTGGATTAAAATAATGTTTGAGTTAAAATCCAGAAGAAACAAGACCATTTTTAACTGCTCTCTAAACTAAAGCTCACTAAACTAAACTAAAGCTCTCTAAAGCTGCGGTGGCTCAAGTGCTTAAGACGCTGAACTGCAGGCTGCGAAAGGTCAGTAGTTCAGCAGTTCGAGGTACAGCATGACAGAGTGAGCTCCCGTCTCTAGTTCCAGCTTCTGCCAACCTAGCAGTTTGAAAGCAAGAAATTGCAAGTAGATAAATAGATACCACTGCAGTGGGAAGGTAACAGCGTTCCGTACGCTGTCATGCCTGCCCTTGAATCAACCCCAGATCTAGCTCCTGACAGCCTAAGAGGGGAGGATTCCGTGCCTTTAAGAGCTGAAGAAGCATCAGGATCTGCACCTACTGTAAGTACAGAGGAGGATACACAGCAATCTGAGCCAACTACAGGACGGTTTGCACCTGGGATTGATCCAGCTGTAAGCAGCTCACCACCTGCATCTCCCCCACCTGTAAGCCGGTTTAGGGATAGGAGACGTCAGGATCTGGCTAGCCAACGAAAAGAAGCATGTTCAAGAAGGCGGAGATCCTTGATCCCCGAGTTTTAACAGCAGCCAGGACCTCGCACAAAGGTGCTAATGGGTTAATGAGCCAGAGCACTATTTAGTAGGGCCTCTGGCCATGAGCAATTTGTGCTGGCAACTTTGTTCGTACAACCAGAAGCTCTGCCCCTTGATTCCTGTGACTCTGTGGCTTTTTGGACTCGGCTTGTGTTTTTGGACTTCTGCTCTGGCTCCTGACTCCCAGCTTTGAATCTGATGATGCTCTCAGCTGTGCTCTCTGGACTCTGACCTCTGGTAACATTTGACTATGGCTGTGTCTGGTGTTTTGGGACTTGTTTAACGCTCTGCTGACTGCTCTCCCGGCTGACCCTCAGACTTGTCTTGTGACCCACCCTCCCAGCCTGACTCCCTGGCTCTACCATGACATGCGCCTTGGTGTTTAGTCATGCCAGCCACATGACCACGGAAACGTCTTCGGACAGCGCTGGCTCTTCGGCTTTGAAACAGAGATGAAACGGAGAGTCGGATTCGACTGGCTTTCGAGCAAGGGAACCTTTACCTTTACACTTATCAATAAGCCAGTTACAAACTTAATTAACAATTTTGGCTAACATCCAAAGAATCTCAAGTGATTCTGGGAATGATAAATGTATTAATCCTTATCACTCCGGGGGGGGGGGGGGAAGGAGACACCATATGGGTTTTCTGCATCCACAAAAAATCTTTTGGGCCTCTTCTTTGCATACAGCAAGCAAGACTTCCTTCTGGCTCCTATATCATGTGCTTTGGGAGCAGCTGTGTGGGTTAGACTAACAGCTGTGGTAGGAAATGGAGCCTCAGAATCTTTAGTGCAACAACAGAGGTACGGTAGCTTGGATCATGTCCCCTATTTTTTTAAAAAATGGAAAAGACACAAAGGTGATATATTTCACTGAAAAGTTACTGGTGAGCACAGAAATGTGCCAGCTTTTGAGTGGCACAGTAATCAAGCAACATAGACAGATTGTTAAGATAACTAATGTATCTCCATAGAAATAAAGTTGGCTACAAATGCAAATAGTTTTCATTACTTCAGGTGGCTAGTGACCAATTAAATGTGCCATATCAACCACAAAGGGGTGTGTGCCTTAACAATGTACTATAGTGAGGAATAATTAAAGATCGCTCCTCTTTTGTTTTTTGTATTTTTGCATTTATGTGTATGTGCCTGTGCTCAAGCCTGGAAGTCAAGGCTGACCTCTGGCGACTCCTACTGGGGCATGGAGGACGTTCAGAGAAGTGGCTTGATAGCCTGCCTCTGCCTCCCAACCCTGGTATTCTTTGGAGGTCTTGTATACAAATACTTGTCAGGGTCAGCCCTGATCAACTTCCGAGATCTGATGAGATCGGGCTTGCCTGGACTATCCAGGTCAGAGCCAAAGGTCACTCATCTTGATGAGCTACACTCTCATATCCAATTATGTGTGCTTAAAACTCACTCACGGGAAGGGAGGAGAGAAGAGGTATTCCAAGAACATACTGTTTGCTGGGTGTGGGGGATTGTATAGAAATATTGATTTCTAAAAGTCTCCTGCCTTCTCCTGTGATGTCTTTCTGATAACATGCTGTGTCTTATTTCCTGTTGCAACTTGATAGCCATGCCATATACCACATTCCTTCACACCTTTTAAGGCTCCACACTAGGCCTCCCATGAGGTTCATCACGTAGGCAATGAAGAAAGCTGGAGGTTGGGTCATCTGACTGCAGGCAGGGCCTCCAAACTTCCAGCCAATCCCACAAACCTGATGTTAGCAACCATGGCAACCAACAATTGGCCACACACCCCTGCTGCTCGGACTGGCTGATGGCCACGGCTAAGTGTGACTAGAAATTGGGGTATAATTGATTGACCCCTATGGGAGTGAGTCTCTTAGCTCTCCCTTCCTCCTCTTGTCATTGTCTGTTTTATGACACCTGAAATGCTGTCTCTTGGGAAACAAAGACCTGCTTTGTGACTTGGAGCACATGGGTGTGCAAAGATGGGATTTCCCTTCAAAATCCCTTGGACTATTTTGGACTGTTGGATGTTCCTGAATTGGTAACTATGTATCTTTAATGTATAGTTAAGGCAAAGAGCCGTAGGTTTTTCTTGTTTTCAGTATCCTCTAATACTCTGTTGCTATGCTCTATACTGAATAAAGATCCTTCTTATTTCTAATTGTGTCTGTTGGTAATTGAACTCCAAGGCTAAGTCTTGTGCCTAGGCTGACCACGAAAGCTACCTCTGTGAGTGTAAAATATTAAGTCCCAGAGGCCAGCTAAGAGAATTGAATCTTTGCTCTGAAGCTGTGTAGGAGACCCCGAAAAGAGATTCTGGTGGCAAATTGTTCTGAAAACCAGAGAGGGTATAGACAATCTCGTGGTTTATTGTTTAATGCGCTGAAGATACAGGGTTCCCTCGCTTTCCTGGACTGGACTGAGTGGGTTAATCCTGTACAGGGATGGATGATGTTTTAAGGCCGCTCCCCCTTGCAAGCAAAGAAGAGATTGGATTTATACCCCGCCCTTCACTCGGAGTCTCCGAGCGGTTTACAATCTCCTTCCCTTCCTCTCCCCCACAACAGACACCATTTGAGGTAGGTGGGGATTGAGAGAACAGCTCTGAGAGAACTGTGGCTTGCCCAAGGTCACCCGGCAGCTGCATGTGGAGGAGTGGGGAATCAAACCCGGTTCTCCCAGATTAGAGTCCATACTCTTAACCACTACACCAAACTGGCAAGAAACATCACAAAGACACCTATGGCTGCGGTCACACGTGCCAGTTGGAGTGGAGGGGAAGCGAGGCTATCTCCTCCAGAGGAATTTGACATGCAGTTGCAAGATCACACATCCCTTTGTAGCTGCGGGCATAGCCAGTCACTGTGTGATCAGACGCAAATGTGGGTGAGTCATTTGTTTCCCATGCACATAAATGAGGAATCGTACCTCCGCATGGAGGACCCCCAATGGAGTATGTGATGATGTGCATACTGCGAAGGGGGGGGGGAATGGCACCAAGCCAGGATGGCCTCATCAGACCATCCCAACGACGTGAGAGCATGCTTGCATGATCAGACAGGGGAAAGTCCATCCGGGGCCCGTCAGAACCCGTTTACTACCGGACTTTCCCCGGTGTCTTTTAACTCTGCTTCCATAGCGGAGCAGCACAGATTGCCGACGACTGCAGGATGCTTCCCAGATGTTGCTGTCTGATTGCGCCCTTTAGATCCGTCAGACAATCGCACCTATGTCGGCTCTAAAGGTGTGCTTGATCGCAGCCGAAGATTTCAATACTTGTTTCAGAAGGAAAAAGACTCTATTAAAAGCTGCCCTTGGATCTTCCTACCATTCAGGGAAGTGTATGAAAGCAATACAAGTGCGCTTCTTTTGAGCTGGGTTTTTGAAAAATAAGTGAGAAGGTGAAGATGCAAAGTGATTGCAAGAGACTTATACAGACCCCTGGCCCAGTGTACAGAGGGATGAGCTGCACCCCTTGGCCGTACAATGCTTTTCACTCCTTTGCATATACCGCAAGACTGCAGGGCTGACTGTATGTAACATCTCAATGACTGTATCTAATTTCAGTAAAATGTGTGTGTGTGTGGGGGGGGGGAAGAGGCAGCAGCTGGAGGGGTGCTTAATACTACCTCTGTCTATCTTTTCACAAGACACGCCCCCACCCCAAGAGATTCCAGATGTTGGCAGGCAAAGTCATGGAACTATGTAGGGTTAAAAAAAGTAGGCAGGATCAGACTTAAGCAACACTCTCCTGAAGAAGTCTTTTCTTTTTAAAATATACTTGGTCCATTGGGCTCCTGTAACACACATTCACAGTTGGCCTCTGACACTGGGGCAACAGAGGACATACCTACAACTACAAACATATTCCTTTTATACTAGCTGAACTATCATGAGATCCTGAGAACTGTAGTGTGCTGCTGCTGCTGAGCATGGTGATTGAGATCACTAGCCTCTCTGGTAGGACAATGATTGCCCCGGGAAAGGAGTATGACACCAGTTTTAGTCTGTGGTTATATGCCCTTATTTCTGTTGCAATCCCTATGAATTAGAAATTACTTGTACTGGTCTAAACAGGACAACTGCTGCCTTGGAGATCAAGGTTCAAACCTCTACTCTGCCACTGAAGATTGCTGGGTGACCTTGGGGCAGTCACCCGCTCTCAGCCTAATCTACGTCACAGGATTATTGTAAGGATAATGTGGAGGAGAACAATGTGAGCCAATTTGATACCCATTGAGGAGAAAGGCAGACTACAAATGAAGTAACCTAAATAAAACAGATATACATTTTGCAAACAGTGATGTAGATTTTCCAGAAAAATATGAAAAGGGGGAAAAATTCTAATGCCCTAAACAGAGTGTGATCTGATTTCGCAAATTTATTTTAACCCATATTTAATAATAAAAATTTAAAGTACCCCATATTATGTTAATGACTCATTCAGTCCAACACACTGTGTCACACAGTGGCCAAAACCCAGGAGCCACCAGGAGGTTCAATAGCAACAAATACTTGATTAGGAAAAAAATTAATCAAATTGGGCTTAAATGCTATATTAAAACAAATTCAAAGTTTTATGTGGAGCTTCATCCCCTTGTTCACCAGGCCATGTACAAATCAATAAAACATACATGTACTCTGTTGCAGTTCCTAGGGATTATCACTTGAAAAATATTAATTACAATTCTGAAACTACCAAGATCACTTTGTATTGCATGGACAATAACATCCATTCATTGTTGTTAATATTAGAAAACACTGGATCTTTGGAGTGGAAAGTTTAACACATGTTCTGCTCCCCCCCCCCCCCCCCCCATCTCTGTTGACAAATGATGGCATTACTACCACTTCCTCTATAATATACCAATTGAGTCATCCCATGCTCTTTGAGTTGCATCTTGAATTCTTTTATCGTTGACTTGGGCATCTAGACCTTCCAAGTCGACCTTGAGTACACAAAAAGAAAACCCTGGTTACGATCTGTAAGCCTGAATATATTTTTTTCCAGTTATTACTATAACCCAGTGATGGCGAATCTTTTAGAGTTTAACACAAGGATTATTGTAAGGATAATGTGGAGGAGAACAATGTGAGCCAATTTGATACCCATTGAGGAGAAAGGCAGACTACAAATGAACCTAAATAAAACAGATATACATTTTGCAAACAGTGATGTAGATTTTCCAGAAAAATATGAAAAGGGGGGAAAATTCTAATGCCCTAAACAGAGTGTGATCTGATTTCGCAAATTTATTTTAACCCATATTTAATAATAAAAATTTAAAGTACCCCATATTATGTTAATGACTCATGCCCAAACTGCGACCCAAAACCCACTTATTTATCGCAAAGTGCCAACACAGCAATTTAACCTGAATACTGAGGTTTTACTTTAGAAAAAACAACTCATGCATTAACTTAAGATGATCCAAACAAAGTAAGGAAAGCAATTCCAAATTACTTAAAATTATTTGGCAGAGAATTCGACACTTTAATGATGGTCTGGGCCTGGCTGGGGTGATGGCACGCATGCCCGCAGAGAGGGCTGTGAGTCCCACCTCTGGCACCCGTGCCATAGGTTCGCCACCACTGCTATAACCACATAGCCCAACTTCTGTCTGTCATACAACACTCAAGGAATGAGCAGATACATGTGGAACAGATGGTCAGTGTAACTTTTCTGAGGTTGATTGTCACCAGAAGGGTAATAATACTTCATGACTGCAGACAACAGATGCATATCCTTAAGCACTTATGTATGTACTTCAAAGAACGTCTGCCCAATCATGGTTCCAGGAACACAGAAACAAAATATAAGAATGAATCTTTGTCAAGGACCCTTGGCTTTGTTTCAAGAATCCAGCTAGTCTACATGAAGCTCAGTTGGCCTCTCTCAGCCTGCAACACAGCTAGGAGGATGAAAGAGGACAAGGCAGTGCGTACGGCTTTGAGCTTCTTGGGGGGGAAATGCACTAAATAACCTTAATCTACGTGGCTGCACAAAACCTCTATAATTCTAACACTTTTTAAAAAAGCCACTTTCATTTTCCATGTTAAAACTGCCATTATTGCTTAGAGACTCAGAAAAGGCTTTTTTCCACGGTGGCACCTCGAGTGTGGAATTCTTTCCCTCTTGAGGCTTGGAGGTTGCCTACCCTACTCTCTTTTAGGCACCAAGCCAACACGTTTCTTTTTACCCAGCCTTTTGACTTGGGGGCTGATCTTTTTCATTGTTCTCACAACGTGCTCCTAGCTTGGTGACAATTCCAAGGATTGTTTGGGTTGCTCCCTGATTTGGAGTTTTATATGCTTTTATGCTCTGGGTTTTTATTGGCTGGGTTTGCTTTTGCTTCTGTCTATTTCTATGAGCTGCCAGGTCCCTGAAGGGGGGGGGGGGACAAATGCATTAAATAAATATTCAAAGACTACCTTGTGGCTGTAGAAAACGAATGCCAGGGAAATATATGAACAAACTGTAAAACTGCCTTATTGAGGAAATGGCCCGAGGCAGAGATGAATTAGCCGGTCAGAATTCCTTGTGGTTGATGCTAGGTTTTGAACAGTTCAGAAAGGAGATTCCCTCCTGCTTGTTCAAAGAAGGCCTTCGGTTACTGGAGCATCAACACTTCCTTGCTGGGGGAAGAGCTGACTCCTCCTGCAGGTGACAATGCCCTGGGACTCAGGTTGCCAGGGCTTCCCTTGGCCACCGGCAGGGGATGGGGGGGGGTAGTACTGCCAGATCTAGGCTGAGGAACTCCTGGGGATTTGGGGATGAAGCTGGGGAGGACAAGGATCCCCATTGGGGTATAATGCCATAGAGTCCACCCTCCAAAGCATCCCTTTTCTCCAGGGGAACTGATCTCTAGTCTGGAGATGATGTGGAATTCTGAGGGATCCCCAGGGCCCACCTGGAGCGTGGCATTACGGTTGCTAACCTCCCGCTGGCGCCTGGAGACCTTCCACTATTACAACTGATCACCAGATGGCTGAGATGAATCCCCCTGGAGAAAATGGCTACTTTGGAGGGTGTAATTTATGGTGTTATACCCTGCTGGGGTCCCTCCCCTCCCATAACCCCGCCTTCCCCAGGCTTCATCCCCCCCCCCCAAAAAAAAGGCCCCCAGGTATCCCCCCCCCCAGAGCTGGCAACCCTATGCGGCACATGTCAGCAACATTTTTGATGGGCTCCCGCCGGACCACGCCCCCCCCCCCCCCTCCACGCCGTTCGTCCCTCCCTCCCTCACCCCGATCATCCGGGTTCGGGCATCGAACAGCCGGCTCTGCCGCTGCAGCTCTCTGTAGCGCCGCCTTTGCAGCGCCGCCGCCTCGGCCAGGTCGGGCACATGGTCCACTTTGCGCATGGCGGGCGGGAGGGCCGGAGGCGGACGGGCGGGCAGCGGGCAGGGAAGGCAACCTGGAGACGCGTCCTCCGCCTGGCGGTTGCTACGGAGGTTGCCAAAGGCAACAGGCTACGCCCCCCGCCCAGTTCTCGCGCGAGAAGCGGGGGGGGGGAATGGAACCAGCGGGGTCCAAGGGGCGCAACACGGAAATGGGTGAGCGCAGCGCTCCGCCCATTGGTTGGGAAGCGCCGCAAAGTTGCAGCCGACTTAAGGAGCCTCTGTAGCGGTTGAGACGAGCAGTGGCGGTTTGCAATTGCTGGCCTGTAGTTTGGAAGGTGCTACTTCACTGGCCCCACAGACTCTCCGCCACAACCTTCTGTATTGGGTTGCCAGCGGGGCCTCCTGTTTGGGAAACTCCCGGATATTTGAACCTCAGTGGGATACAGAGCCACAGAGTCCACCCTGCAAAGCATCCATTTTCTCCAGGGACAGTGATCTCTGCAGTGTGGATATGAGGTGCGATTCCGGGGGATCCCCAGGGCCCACCTGGAGGCTGGCATCTCTACGGGCACGGCATCCCTTTGTGGTTCCCTGCCCCCCCCCCCATCCGTCCAACGTCTTTGTATCAGGATGTGGCTACCATGAGGAAAATAAAACAGAGGCTCAGTCGCGCCTTAAAGACGAACAACAACATTTATTTCACAATTCACTCCTTCAGATAGGAGAGAGCACCGAGACGGCCCCACCTGACGCTGTCGTGCCCCCCCCCGTTCTTGCTCTCAAAATAGACTGCAGGCACTGTCACGTGACGTCGCGGAGTGTTGTACGTCATGCGTTCTCAATTCGCCGAGAGCTTCCCTTCGGACTCTCGCGAGAGTTGCCCCACAGGAGATTTTGGCGCTAAACCGGCTTCGTTCTGGCTGGCCGCGTTTTGTGAGGGGAGGTTTAGGCATTAATGCCTCAGGGCTCCGCCCTTCGGAA